GTCCCCAAAACTCCCACTTCGGTTCTTCGCTCCTGAGCCCAAAAATTCCTGAAAAATTCAGTCACCGACACCAGCCCTTTTCTGCTTCCCAAGACGCTCGCTCCCCTATGCACCCTCCATCCCAGACACAGACCTGCAAAGTGTGTTGAACTCCTGCAGCTCACCCTCCCTTCTACACCACATGATTAGTGACCCCCCAAAAAAGCGGGGACCAATCCCTTCCACAGTCCTTATAACTGAGTTCCAACGAAGACCCCCCAATTTCCTCCTGATTAGTCAACTCCCCACAAAACACCTGCCAGCCCTCTATCCCACCAGCACTCGGCCCCACCTGCTTTCTCATCACCCCCTGCACCCCGAACTCCACATCCCCCCGACCCCTCTAAAAGGGGCTGACTCCACTTCCACCCCGCAGCCCTCCCCTAATTCTGCCCTCTGACCCCCTCTCAGCTCACCCAAACCCCATATTCCTCAATCACCCTTCCTGGACAACTCGCCCCCCCAATCCCATCCCAGCTCACTACTCACCTAACCTCCACTTCAACTAAACCCCCGGCCCCTCTTCCAATAACCTTCACCTTCAACCCGAACCCTACCCCTCCCCAGCCAACCTCGACCCAACCTCACCCCCGATCCCCTCCCCAGCTAACCGCGACCCCAACCTCACCCCCAATGCCCTCCCCAGCTAACCGCGACCCCAACCTCACCCCCAATGCCTCCCCAGCTAACCTCGACCCCAACCTCACTCCCAATGCCCTCCCCAGCTAACCGCGACCCCAACCTCACCCCCAATGCCCTCCCCAGCTAACCGCGACCCCAACCTCACCCCCAATGCCCTCCCCAGCTAACCGCGACCCCAACCTCACCCCCAATGCCCTCCCCAGCTAACCGCGACCCCAACCTCACCCCCAATGCCCTCCCCAGCTAACCGCGACCCCAACCTCACCCCCAATGCCCTCCCCAGCTAACCGCGACCCCAACCTCACCCCCAATGCCCTCCCCAGCTAACCGCGACCCCAACCTCACCCCCAATGCCCTCCCCAGCTAACCGCGACCCCAACCTCACCCCCAATGCCCTCCCCAGCTAACCGCGACCCCAACCTCACCCCCAATGCCCTCCCCAGCTAACCGCGACCCCAACCTCACCCCCAATGCCCTCCCCAGCTAACCGCGACCCCAACCTCACCCCCAATGCC